GGTGCGTCCAGGACAATCTCTGCCCGGTCTTGTGCACCCCATCCAGCCAGGACAGGTTCGCCCAGTAGAGTCCGAGACCGGCCTAGTGCGCCCCATCCAGCCAGGACAGGTGCGTCCAGGACAATCTCTGCCCGGTCTTGTGCACCCCATCCAGCCAGGACAGGTTCGCCCAGTAGAGTCCGAGACCGGCCTAGTGCGCCCCATGCAGCCAGGACAGGTGCGTCCAGGACAATCTCTGCCCGGTCTTGTGCGCCCCATCCAGCCTGGGCAGGTGCGCCCAGGAGAATCTCAAACCAGCCTAGTACGCCCTATCCAGCCAGGACAGGTTCACCCAGGAGAGTCTCAGCCTGGCCTAGTGCGCCCCATCCAGCCAGGACAGATTCACCCCAGAGAGTCCCAGCCTGGCTTGGTGCGTCCAGGGCAGTTTCAGCCAGGCCTGGTGTATCCAGGTGAATCCCAACCTGGCCAACTTCTTCCACTTCAGCCAGACCATGTTCGTCCAGGGGAGTCTTTTCCTGAGCATGTGTATTCAATGGTCATCCAGTCTCGTGTAGGTATGTAGATTTTCTTTTTACTTAAATGTTTGTTATTGCCAGTTTCATACATGTGCAATATGTTGCATATACTATCACTCAATAAAAGTAACTTTGGTTTCTGGATTTATGTTTTTAATTTATGAATGTGCAGATGTTATAGAGTAAGAATTATTGCTCTATATTGCTTTTCTAGTTTTGTTTTCCTTATTTATATACTATTAAATCCTGCGTGTCTGTAACCTTTAAGTGGGTGAAACATTACCTCATAGGCCAAAATATTTTCTACCAAATTACCTCAAATGGGCTAACTTGTAGAATGCATCCAAAATCTGGGACCCATGACACCTGTGGAATTGAAACCTGGCAAGTTTTATAAAGCATTTTATGACATAAAAAGTATCATAAAAGGTATTTTATGGCGTAATACATAACGTCATGAAACATTTCATATGTCAACTCCTGATGTTTGACTGCTATACAGTTCAACGGGGGCTACTTTCGATGGGGATACATTAAGAACTCTTGATGTCCATTGGAAGCTTTGCTATTTTTGAACGCATTGAGGAATCTAGTAAGGAAATATCTCTGGAATGACCTAACAGGTCAGAGGTGATGTCTAGTTTTCTTTATGTTTAGGTCCAGAACCCTTCCAGTTTTCAGCTTCTTGTGTATTTCTGCCCTTCTCTCTTTGTTACTTGAATCATAAGAGTTTGTGATGCTAATTTCATACCAGACAAAAACATTACGGTTTATTATGATACATACATCTAGTCATTAAGGGCTAATTTTCTATTTTCTAAACAATGTAATTTCTTTTACTTCCAGGTCGCCCTCTAACTCAGCAACAATGCCAGGTTTCTTCTGGGAGAATACCCTGTGCAGATGTACAAGGACCAACAGCTTGTCATCAAACAGGATGCTGTTATGATGCTAGGGATCAGGTGACTCCATGCTACTATGGCAACACAGGTAAAAAGTAAAAAAAAAAACTTAATGCTGTGCCTAGGGTCCAGCCACTGCTATACTTTGAAAGTAAAATGTCTTGTTTGCTCACAGCCAATAACTAGGAACACTGCTGAGACAGGTTTTTTTTCTCCATATCCACATTCTTCACAGCATTTTATCAAATCAAATTATTTTCCTAAAAAGACGGTTTATATGCAATATCATATCTTGTGCAAGTTTCAGTTTCAAGGTTTTTCCATATTGTATAGGATGTTTTGTTATATTTTTTTATCTTACCTTTTTTCCATATACAACTCAAAGTGGCAGACTTACTCATACTCCTTTCTCCTATCACAACAACAACAGCTCTGTAAGGTGAGTTGGGCTGTGAGTGGCTCATCCAACGTTATCCAGCTGGTTTTTCATGCCTAAAGCAGGACTAGAATTCACTATCTTCTGTTTCTAGACCAGCACCTTAACTACTGCATCAAACTGTAGTGGAACACTAAGCTGTTCATTGGGACAACTTTACAAATTATCAACCAGCATGGTCAATAACTCTAGAAATTATTCACTGGGACTTTTGCAGATTACACATTGATTCATATTGGTGAAGCTTATTCTAGATACATTTCATTTTTAATTTGAGAAGCATCAAAGCTTCTGTGAGAAGGCAGCTGAGCAATAAATTTCCTGCTCCAAGTCTGATGAAACTGAGTGAGAGAACTATCACTTCTGCTTTTTGATGAAATAAACTAACACACACACACCCACTCCGAAAGTTCTTGATCTGTCTGGCTTTTAACCTCTGCACTTTGTGTCTTGCAGTCACTGTTCAGTGCCTTCGAGATGGCTACTTCATTTTGGTAATCTCCAGGGATATGTTGGATTATCCGATCATCCTGGAGAGTGTCAGACTCTCCTATGCCCAAGCAAGTTGCAGTCCAGTCAGAAAAACAGAATCTTTCCTGGTCTTCCGCTTTCCTCTCACACAGTGTGGCACAACTGTTCAGGTGAGGGTGCTGTCTAGGCAAGTGCTAATCTATCTGGAATTTGAAGGATCTTTGATTTAATTACTAGACCATCTAAAAATGTCTGTGTTTCTTGTCCTTCTAGGTGACTGGTGGCAAATTGATATACGAAAACCAGCTCGTTTCTGGCCTCGACATCCTAAAAGGGCGAGATGGCTCTATTACACGAGATAGTACCTTCATGTATGTTGAATTTGCCATGTACCGATGAGATAGTTCTCCATTTAGTGTTAAGATATGGATATGTTTAGTCTTCTAAATTAAGTTTTACAGATTTGATCTTGGTCTTCTTTAGAGCTTTTGATTTATGTAGCTACTGTGTTTTCCCCAAAATAAGACAGGGTCTTATTTTCTTTTGACCTCCGAAATAAGTACTTGGTTTTATTTTCGATGAGATTCTATTATTTTTGAGGTGCAGGAGGTGGTGAGTGTGGTCACTTCATGGCTGCTGCTGTGTTGCAATATTTTCAGGGAAGGGCTTATTTTAGCACAAGCACTGAAAAGCCTGATTGGGCTTATTATCCAGGGAGGTCTTATTTTGCAGGAAACGGTATTTTTTCAGACTATTGATCAAGTTATCTGATTAGAATGGGAATGAAAGTCCAATTATAGAAGATTCCCCACTTTTGGCATAGATTGGTTGGGCATCATTTATAAACTAAGGTCCATCTTCCATAGCTCTTCTTTTCAAAGTATCCAACAGTTAAGCGCAGCTTGATTCACATTTGTTTAGACTGCCATAAATAATCATGTTATAACAGAGGTTTGTTAACTCAAAACCTTAGAAAAGGATACTGTAGCTATCTACTAAAACTAAGATTAATTTTGAACATTCTAGTCAAAGCAAATGATTTACAGGAAAGTTTCTTCTATCTTACACGTGTAGGCTTCATGCTCGTTGTATCTACAATGCTACTGATTTCCTGCCACTTCAAGTTGAAGTGTTCTCACCTCCCAGTCCAGCTCCAATTTTCCAAGTAGGACCTCTCCGGCTTGAGCTGCGCATTGCCACAGGTACATGTGCCTTAATGTCTGATATCAACACTGCTGTGCATCTCCTTGCCTTGAAAAACCATATAACCATATTTTGCCTCTTGTCCCCAGATTCAAGTTATACCTCATACTACTCAAATTTACAATATCCTATTGTGAAGATCCTGAGAGAGCCTGTGCATGTAGAGATTCGCATCCTACAGAGACTGGACCCATCCCTGATTCTGGTTCTCCATGATTGCTGGGCTACTCCAAGTTCAAATCCCCTTGAGCAATTACAGTGGCCAATTCTAGTAGATGGGTAAGTAAATAAAAAAGAAAAATGCTAATTCTCATAGCACTGGGTGGTTTCAATGAGAATGTTTTACTCACTTTATTTAAAAGAAGTTTATATGGCCATCCAATTTAACCAATGTGACTCTTGGTGGCTTACAGAAAATTCTGTAAAATCTGGTTAAACCAATTAATAATGATGAAATAATAAAGTGTAGATCCAAATGGAAATGAAACCATCACACAATTGGGCCTTCAACACATCATGATCCCAAGGCTTGGAGAAAGAGCCACATCTTGACAACTTTTCTAATGCGTCCTTTTCCCAGGTGCCCATTTGAAGGAGACAACTACAGAACCGAGCTGGTGCCCATGGGACCTGCTACATCAGAGCTTTCCTTTCCTAACCACTACCAGCGTTTCATCATTTACACGTTCACATTTGTGGATTCTGCCCCTCAAATGATGCTAGATGGTTCTGTAAGAAGATAAGCAAAATAATTATTTTTTGTATTCAGTTTTTCCAATCAAATTAACTTCTAAGAGAGTAGGGGACAATGTGCAAAGTATGCTACTTGAATGTAAAGGGGGAAATATAGTAACTACTTTTCCTAAGAAAATGGTGTGGTCAGGTTTTTAATTCTAGTACAGATCACACATGTTGCTAAGGAGCAGGTCTGAAACAAATGTCTGGAGGGCATTAACCTGGATTTTTAATGGGCACTTTGGGGCGAGACAAATACATTTATTTGTACTCATCTTTTATTACAAATATGTTTAAGAAATGTTGTTTCCTGAATACTTGTACCTAATAAACTGCTTATGGAAGCAGTGCATATCTTATATCTAAAGAGAGATGGACAAAATATACAATACCTTAACTTTTAGGGCGCTGTCCATTACTTACTTCTTTGGGTCTTTTTTTTAGCAAAGCATTAATGAGTACATATTTTGGAGATATATCTTAATAGAAGTTATAATTTGGTTGGAATTGAAATTAACTAAAATTAGATCTGGCAAGATTGAGACTGGTCTACTCTTAACAGACTCATGTTCTGTCTTTTCTAGGTGCACCTCTTCTGCAGCGTATCTGTTTGCCATCCCTCCGATCATGATTCCTGCAGAGTTGCATGTCAAATGCCAGTGGCTTCAAGTAAGTTAGAATGCTTCAAAGCCACAGCTTTAAAGGACTCTCTCCCTCTACTTAGGTGTTCATGAGGCACCTAATATATAAAAATAGTTAATATCAATATATCTTGGAATGCATGAAGAAATCAAACATGATCTAGTTTAAGGAAGAATTTTTAAAAATCATTTTCAATAGTTTAGTATTGCCCATAAATCTGACTAGCTCACTGCTTACCCATAAAGTCAAAAATTTGTATGAGCAAGGAAGACCATAAGAAGCAATTGTCCTTTTTTCTATTCTGCCTTGATCAAACCCCACTTGGAATACTGTGTTCACCTGTGGACATTGCAGTATAAAATAGACAATGATACATTGGAGCAAGTTCATAGGATGACTATAAGGTAGTAAGGGGATTGACAAACACAGTCTCATGAGAAATAGAGGAGGGTATGTTTTGCCTGCAGAAGAGAAGACTGAGGAGAGAAATGGTATCAGTTTTCAGATATATACAGGAGGAAATAGACTTGTTCTCTTTCACCCCAGAGGCAGAGGGCAGTGCAAGAATCAGATGGACATAGATTCAGGTGGTTAAATGTTAAGAAGAATTTGCTGATGGTGTTCATGATGTGATATATCATTCTTTACTTGAGATTTTCAAATAGAAGATACATAGTCACATGTCCAAAATGTTTTAGCAGTTCCTCCATTGAAGGAGGAGTTGGACTAGATAAAATTTTAAGGGCTCTTCCAACATTGATTAAGAGCAGTTTAAGTTAAAAAGCACTGGTTCTGAAAATAGTTCTGGAGGAACTCTACTTGTTTCTCTCCATTCCACATATTACTAATTACTTTGTTTTGTTTTGCCTGTTAGCAAAATGTAAAAGAACAAAGCCTTTGACCTCATTGCAACTAAATTGTGTTTTCATTACCAGTTTTGCCAAAGGCGCTTAGAAAATCCAAATATTGAACATGAGCAAGGTTATTTTCATTCACTTGGAGATTCTTTAAAAAAAATGAAATATTGGTAAAGCGGTATTTAGCTTTGTAAAATCCGTGCAGATTTTTTCTTTAGTAGGGCCTTATGCCTCTGTGTGCCTCAATTCTTTTGAATAGGGTTTTCACAGCTTGCCTGATATTAGGCTTATTAATTAATAATTTCCTGATTCTCCCATGGATTCATTTTTAAAAAAATATTTGTATATGGTTAATTGATTATGTAAATAATTTAAAAAATATTTACATCCCACCTTTATTATTTTTTATTGTTAATAACTCAAGGCAGCAAACATACCTAATGCCCATTCCTCTTCTTTTCCCCATAACAACTCAAATGAGGTGGATTGAACTGAGGGAGTGGTGTTTTGAACTTTTCTGTATATTTTTTCAAACTTTCCCCTTTTGTAGTTAAATGGAAATATATTGCAACTGTATATTTCTATGTATCTTATTGGAGATCTTGTCTTCAATGTCTTAGGAGGCCGTCGGTTTTTGAAGGAGGCGAATGAGACAGAATCCATGGACTTAATAAGCACTTATGGAGCTGTAATTTTTCAAGAGAATATTCATGAGAAACAAGTTGAGTGGAAGAGTGGTAAGTATGTACAATAACGAAGAGCCAGAAATTACAATACTGTAAGTATACCCAAGTTAGAGTTTTAAGAGAAATATGAAGTATGTTAAATATAAACATACTTCATATTTCTCTTAAAACTCTAACTTGGGTTACTACATTCCTGTATAAAGTGAATGCTTGGTATGCATAGTGATTTAAATAGGAATATTTATAAGTGGATTGGTAAATGGGCACCAGCTGACAATTATTGCCTTTAATATTCCAGAATCTACTGACAGTCCTGCAGACGTTATATTATTATTACAGAAAAATTCAAGCTGTAAACATCGCCTTCCCCTCATTCTTTTTACCCCAAGCTGGGGTAATGCTGATAGAATTTACTAATACTTTGGATCTCAAGCCACTGTATATTCTATAATAGAATATGTTATGTAAAGATTAAACAAGGGAGCTTTCATAAGAAATGTGGACATCATTATATTTTATTTAGTGTCATGTGTGGTCCCTACAGAATAATCATAATCTTGCAAGAAAAAATGTTTTTCAATAGCTTGGCCAAGTGACAACTGCTTTATGAGATGACAATAAATGAATTATAAAAGGTTTTCTCTTATCCACAGATGTGAACTCCAGTGAAGACTTCACTCTGGTGCTTTTGGTGGTACTACCTATCATTGGGATTATCCTATTTATTGCTGTGCTAGTGCTCTGGAAGAAAAGAAGCAGGATGACTAAATTCTAAATTTGTTATACAAAAAATATGTAAATAAAGCTATTTCCAATAGCTTATAGTCTCTTGATATTTCAGTTCTTTGTTGACTAGATAGAAAATCTGCCATTAAGTGATTACTTCCAGTAATAATTCAATTCTTACGTAGATGTTAGATATCTTCACATTTCTACTATTATGAATGCAAGAAACCTATTTTTTATACCAAAATTCATGCTTTGTTCCTTTTTTATCATATGGATTCTCTTTTAAAAACTATGCCCTTACACAAATACAGCATGTACAAATAGACAGATAGTCTCTTGTTTCAAACAGATTCCTGTGTGAGGTCCTCTTAGCTTATTGCCAGTGCCTCAATATTACTTCAAGAGGAGGGATGAAATTAAAAGCACCGGCTATATTAAATGAAGCACACAAGAGAGATTCTAGAAAACGTTTCTAGGAATTATTAAGGAGTTTTTGAGAAATAAAGACAGAATGAGTTATCGCTGGAAATAACATGTGAATTAATGAATTGCAGATTTGTAAACATGGCCCTGAGACAATTTGCACAGATGCAACAATGGGAGGAGGGGAGCAGCATATATTTAGGAGGAAAAATGTCCCGTAAAGTAATTCTTGCTTTCCCACATTTTCCAACTCACCCTTTTCAAAAGCTCATCTGAACTTCATCACCAGAAATGGATGGAAAAATCACAGTTTGTCCTATCTTTGCTGCCATTGATGTTGCATGGGGATACTTAACATTTATTTGGAACTTGCTTCAGCTCCAATTACTATATTCATAACTTGCAGCAGAGATGGGCCTTAATTGTTGGAAACCCCCTTTGTCTACACCATTACATTTTTGTTTTCTGATACAAGAGCCAAAAACATCAATGCAAAAATATAGGCTAGTCTAATATTGTTTTAAAAATGACAAAAACCTATAGGCACGATTTTGAACTAGAGAATGAATTTGGGTGGACCTGCAAGAATAAAACTAGGATTTCATTGGGGTTCAGGTTGATGAGAAATTGCTATTGTAGGTCACTCAAAATAATGGTAACAACATACCACCTTATAAAGTCATCTTTTTGCCTCTGGAACAATTTTTGAGTCCTGGCTGTTTTCTTGGGAAGGTTTTTGAAAAGTGGCTTATTCTTGCCTATTTCCTAGGACTGAGAGAGAGGAACTGGGCCATGGTCACCCAGCAGGCTTTGTACCGAATAAATAGTGAAAGGTGGGGAATTGTAGCAGGGAAAAAATTAACAAAATTCAGACTGCTTCCTCCCCAGTCTTTTGGATATGACCAAGGTCAAATTCAAATATCCTCTCTGCCTAAACTCATATTTTAATGGGAAGGGTGAACTTTCTGAATTATTATCTAGTTGCTGAAAACTGGGTTTCCTTTAAAGACATGCATTCTCATTTTCCAAAATCAGAAGAAGAAGAAATAGAATCAAAATCACGTGAAGTGTTAATACCACTTAATAATGCCTTGGTAAGACCACATTTGGAATATTGCATCCAGCTTTGGCTGCCACAATATAAAAAAGATGTTGAGGCTCTAGAAAGTGCAGGGAAAGGCAACAAAATGATTAGGGGATTGGAGACTAAAACATGAAGAACCGTTGCAGGAATTGGGTAGGTCAGGTTTAATAAAAAGAGCGAGGGGTAACAGGATAGCAATGTTCCAATATCTCAGGGGTTGCCACAAAGAGGAAGAGCTCAACTTATTTTCCAAAGCACCTGAAGGCAGGACAAGAAATGTATGGAAACCAATCAAAGAGAGAACCAACTTGATCTAAGGATAAATTTCCTGAGATTTAGAATAATTAATCAGCGGAATGACTTGCCTCCAGAAGACAACCCTAACACAGCTTGTTTACCTTCCTGAAGAGAGAAGTCAAGTCTTCCTGCCTCAGCCTGAAAGTGCTTGGCAGCATTCACTGGAATGGTTGCCCTAGAAAAGGCTTCATGACTCAGACAGGCCCGGGGTTGACTCAGGGAACCCAGGCAGCTTTTTAATGCCTTTGTTAAAGCATAATAGCAACATTAGGGTCTCCAGGATGATAAACATCACTCTCCCCACCCCCCAATGAGACTTATCCCTCCTTGGGTTAACTTCTTCTGGTGAAGCAGCCAGTCAGCCAAGAGGGATGGCTGACATTGACAATCCCTTTCCTCTATCTCAGCCCTGCCCAAGTGTGTGAGGGGGCTTCTTGAGATGAGGGTCTCACTTGGCCTCATTTTTCTGACAGTGCGATGCTGGCAGAACAACTGTCTCTGCTAGCTTAGCAAATATTCAGGGGGCAGACAGGCTTCATAGAACAGCTTGCACCATTCACCACCACAAACTAGCATTGCCAGGACTGCTTTTCTCCTGGCCAGGGTTTCTTCCTGATGACATTTCACGAACTTGGCTTTCTTTCTGTTCAGCTGACAGCAAACGATTTTATTACGGCCCCACTCTCCCACAGACAAAGTGTATTTATTTATTAAACAAATTTATATAGCCATATATCTCAGAGTGACTCTGGGCAGCATACAATACTAAAAACCCAGTTTTAAAACCACAATTTAAAACCACAATCTCCCCACCCCCATCGCAATCTGGCAATTAATAAGTGCATTAATTGCCAAACTGGCAGTGATCCTGTATGTTGAGATGATGATGACGATGCACATTTATTTAACACAGTGGTTCCCAAACTTTTTCAGTCCACCGCCCCCTTGGTGCTACAAATTGATCCTCAGTGCCCCCCACCCAGTGGTGGAATTCAATTTTTTTTACTACCAGTTCTGTGGGCGTGGCTTGGTGGGCGTGGCTGGGGGGTGTCATGTGACTGGGCAGTTTGCATGATGGAAGGAAGATAGTAACAATAAAATTCAAAACTGTAACAATTAATTGCACATTTATTCAAAATCCAATTTTAAAACCTTTTTAGTTAATGTTAGTTCAACTAAATTGTTGAACATGATCCAGTGATACCAGGTTTTCAAAGTCTCATAGTCATATATCAGGAACCTTAGTAACTAGTATCTTAGTAAATTCAGTAAAATTTAGTAACCACTGTTCAATAAATTCTTAATGTGATGGATGGGCTTGATGAAGTGATACCAGTTTCCCAATG